TAGCTTACTCGGCATCTTGCTTACAAGACACGTAGCATCGGCAGGGGTTATCGAAAATTTAATAACGTTCGAATTAATAATGCTGGTGTTGCTGCGCGCGATGGCGGGTGTGAGAGAACGGAACGCTACATCGCGCTTCGTCGGAAGAGCAATCGGGCTAATAACGTACCGGTTGGAGCGGACGGATAAATTAAATTAATCATGCATCATGCAGGAGTCGGGACGTTAGATTCGATCGTGCATTAACCGAATAACCCGCGCTAAATCTTCTCTTCCGGCCTAAAAAAAGAAAACTCTTGTGGTGCCGCTGCGACAAAATGTATATTATAGAAATATCTATTTTGGCAAGATTCGTGCTAAAAGCTCTATTGATATCATATTTTAATGATATTGATTATGTCGATTATTTGATTAATGTCACGCGACATGTCAATTTTCCCGGCAAATTTATAGCGTACGTTATATTAAAAGTTCTATTAATAAAATTGCTTAAAAATTACTAAATGCAACTCACAATGAGTTATTATTTATTCATAAGGGAATATCCGTAAATTGATCGTGTTCTTTTTTCATTTTGCTTTATTTTGTAACGATCGCGAATTTCTGAAGTTTTCTAAACTATGCTTGAACTTTGTAATTGGACATGACGTTACGTGTTGACGAGCTTACTTAATTCCAAGCGCTGTAAATCATCGGGGAGTCATGCCGTGTGGGCGATAGTTGCTGCGAAAAAGATATTCCGCGCTGGTCATTAACGTCCGAGCAGGAACTTCCCCATCCGGCAGTCGTTATCGCCATTCGGAGGTTCGCTTCTGCTATTTTCGCGGATGCGCCATTACGCTCGCCGCGAGAATATAGCGTTTAAAGCAGGGACCCGGACCGGACCGAAACCGAAACCGATAACCGGATCAAAACCGTTATTTTAGTCGGATCGAAACCGAAAACCGGACCAAAATATTGTGCAGGTTAATGGACCGGACCCATAACCGGACCAAAAACTTTTTTCCGGTTTTCGGTCCATTTTTCGGTTCGATTTTCGGTTCGGAAAAAGATATACGATAGTTATACTTCCATCTTTCTTTCTAATCAAATCTCACACCTCGTTTGCTCTATAATTTTTACTATATCTATGGAATATCCCTACTTTATGTCCGGATTAAAATCTTATTAATTACAACCAAAAGCAGAAGAGAATCTCAATAAAAACTAATATCTTAAAATTCTGACAAGAAAAAAGTATGACTCAACCAAAGTTGTACAAATTAATTATCGATAATTTTTCTGACGGTATCAGCTACGTAAGTGAGTGTCAAACAGTTGTTCTCAGGATTAAAATTCGTGCTATTTCCGCTAAAAATGAACATCGATGAAACAACTCTGGAAAATCAACTATTTGATTAAAAATAACCAAATTTTTGTCAACAAAGATTTTATTCAATAGAGATAAATTTTTTATAATATTTAACTTAAATTTGTATTACTTTTTATATGCATAATACTTATTTTTTATAAATTTCACAATAAGTAATTATAATATGTATACCCGTAACCGTAACCGTAACCGAAAAAGACCGAAATCCAAACGGTTACGGTCACCGATATCGGCAAAAGAACTGAAACCGAAACCGAAACCGAAAATTGGGTATAACCTCGGACCGTAACCGTAACCGGACTGAAATTTTCTTTCGGTCCGGGTCCCTGGTTTAAAGCGCTTAAGTTTCTCTCCTGCATCAATTTTAACTTTAAATTGTTCAAGCTCCGCGCGTGTGAATATCTCACGAGGACCACTAATATAAATCTCATATTAGAACGAAGACAAGCAGCAATAATATGATAGTGGGAATAAAAATTGTGCCAATTTCTACGGCTATAAATAACAAATTAGATTCTTCAAAAAATTACAGCGTGTGGCAAAGCACCGTTTTTCAATTATTATTTTTCGTTACAAATTAAAAGGGTTTTCGAGTGAAATTTTAGTGGTTACTCAATTGTTCTCTTTTATTGTTAATTAAAAAAAAATACATCTCACTAATAAAACGAAAAATATTCTGATAAAGTTAACAACGTTGCTAGATTTTAAATTATATCTGAAAAATGTGCACTCGCGACGAATATGTTTCTATTTAGCGAAAGAACCACCCAACGGGCCATTTATTAGTGCTTCTAATAATACTCGACAAAAAAAAAAGCAATTTCATGCGATACGAATGTAGGTTGTGAAAATGAATGAGGCTCGCGCATATATTGTTGCACCGGCTTTGGCGGTTGGTTCGGTAGCGAAGTTGTCTACGAAAATTTTAATTGGACTGCGCATATGACTATCACGTATAACGTCGCTGTCAGACTAATCGGATAATCTACTCGTCTCGCTGAAAGAATCAACGTGCCTTTTAGCTTAATTGTTTCTCCGAGCTCGCTCGCCTGCCGCGCTAATACTATTAGCTCCTTATAGTCTCAACCATTAGAAACTGGTTCCGGCGGGAGGAACGATAAGGATACCCGGCATCTATAAGGCAGAGACAATGGCGCCTTGTTTTCCAAAAGAAAATAAGGACGTCCAAGTTTATTCGTCGCTCGATTAGTCCTTCCAGTACGAAAGTTTATCTCTTTCGACCACGCGACGAAAAAAGATCCACGCGAGTGAAAAAAATTAACAATTTACCTATTAATATATAATCATTACTGTTCTAAAATTGTTGGTTTTTTTTAAAAACATTTCTTATTTAGCAACTTTTTCGTATACTTTTTATCTGCATTGTATATTTTAGTACATCTAACGCGGTCCGTGCTGCGCTATAAATTTAGACGTTTTATTTACCCTCGCGTGAATCACACCAGTCATCCCCACAATATTTTTGTCTATTATATTTGTTAAGTAAGAAGTATAAAAAGTATTTTATAGTAGTAAAAACTATAGAAATTATTATTTTAATGAAAAAAGTCAATATGCATCACATATCATAATTATGTGTCAATGCATATCAGAAACTATTTTATAATTTTATTTTGTAATACAATCATATATTATACATATATATTTTACAATTATTTTTTATAATTACGTTTCTTTTTGTAGTCAAAATATCAAATGGCCTGAACGCGAAAAGTTCAGTGTGGAACACTGCAGGTTACCTGTGCGGCACGGAACGTGTTAAAAGCGGTTTATTATGCGATAGAGAATTACCAAGCTGTTTCGCAATCTGCGGCTCGATAATTAATCGTCCGAGCAAATCTGTGCAACTTGATCATTTAATATAATGTCCGCTGTGCCAACCAAACGTGGTCACGTTTCTCACTAAGACAAGCTATCGACCGACGCTCCCTGCTTGGAGAGCGTCCAGCGTCAAGTCACTTCTTGAGACGCTCCAATTGTTCCAAGTTCCATTACTGTTCAGGGTCGGACACCGCGCATGGAAGAGCTTGTAACTTTATTCGTTTCGGCCGTAGAGGATCTTTAACCAGTGGGTCTTTTGCCCGCAAAAACGAACATGTCACAGCTCAGTGCTGCACGAATCCCCGCGGGTCTCGCGCTTTGCTCAAATTACATGGAATTCTTAAACACGCCAGCGGGTAGCGTAGCGGCGTAATTACAAAAACGCGATACGGCGGTAATTAACAAGAAATTGTGCCGCGATGTTAGAGCCAAATGAGATATGGTTTTTCACGGCCACATTATGCCGTTTGTGCGCGATGTCTCAGTTTTTAAACGTTTACTTTTATCCACGACCAAAGTAGCTTTCCTGAAAGAAATTCGTCTAATTGAATATGATAATCCAATTAAAAATTGCATTGTGATATTATAATTATTTATAATAGAAAATAGGAGAATTTTTTATTCTGCATCTATTTAAGAGAATCTGTCGTTGCTACAATAAAAATATTGAAAATACATCACTATGTATTTTTAATGTTTTTATTAGAGCAACGACAGATTCTTTTAAATAAATGCAGAATAAAAAATCCTGTGCACTGTCGAATAAAAGTAGAATATCACGATAAAAATACTTATTTTAAATGACTTCTCGTCTTGTGATTGATTCAATTAAATGAAATAGCATTGCTTTGTCGAGTGAACAAATATAGGATTATTGATGCATTTTTTCGATGCATATTTCTTTATTTCATTGGATATTAATAGTATTAGCATTATGCAATATTAAATACTGAAGTATTTAAACATATGCTGTCAAATAATATTATATATATTATATTTTTGACATTTTATACATGATCGCTTTTTGAAATTGCGGCAACAATCGGGTAAAGTACGAATATCGATGCACTAGAAAATTAATCACCTACGATCGGATAATCGATCTTATGGAGTGTGATAGGAAACAGCGTTCCGCAAGAGCGAACGCATATCAACCGATCGTTATTAATCTGCGGGAATAAGGTGGAGTTTCTAATCTGTCCCTACCGCGGCACGTTTACGGCGTAGATTTAATCTGCATTGGATTTAATTAAAATCAAGTGCTTCCACAGTGGCATACTCTCGTTGACAATTGCATGCAGATTGGATTAAGCTCGGAATTAGAACGGAGGGCGAATTCACGCTCCGCGCGAACCCGGGTGCTCGTTTGTCCATATTAATATTCGAATACGTGAAACTAGGGCGAATCACGTTGTAAACTTTCGCGATAGAGATTGTCAATGGCGGCAAGATAATCCGGAATGAGCTTGCATCGTTATCGTTTCTCGTGTGTGAGAAGTATCTCTAATTTATTTAATCATTACACAATCTCTCTTTGATGTTAGGTTAGACGCGACACAGCTGCTTTAGTATATACTGTTTAAAAATGTCTATGTCAACAATATTTTATATTTAACGCAAGCCGCGTTTCACACGTCTAGCTGTGTATCTCTCGGGAGACTCGCGATGACGGTTTTACGCTACAAACTCGCCACACGCGACGATATTTGGCGATCGAAGTTTCCCCGTGCTCTAAACTTTCAAACGATTTGCCCGTACCTAATCGGAACTTTCATTTCTATTGCAGATCTAGACGGCTGCTGGTCTGGAAATCTTGGAGATCTCTCGCTTTCCCGCGCATATTCCCTGCGTACGTGTGGGAGGTCGAAGTTTTCGCCGATAATCCGACTTAGCATCTGCCGCTTAACAAGGCAAGTATAATTATCGGGGGATACGAAGAGGACCGTTTCGTGAGCAGATATCCGCCTCGTAAGGAGCGTCCTGGATAGCCTGGCCAGTACGTTTCTAAGGTACGTATCTTAAAACTATCGTTCTCTCTCTCTCTCTCCCTCTCTTGATTATATCCATGGATAACTATGCTAGATACAATCGTCCTTGTAGCATACCACCACTGTATCGAATTTTCGCTAGGACTTGGTAAGACTTCCCTGTGTTATCTATGATAATAAAACTCATTTAGACTGACGTCACTTGTAGATAACAAAGTTGAAGCTACAGAGATAAGAAACGTTAACAAGTTGTTCGTCAAGTCAAGCATTTTGTTACAAACGCAGATAGATTTGTTATATAGATTTGTTCATTTATTAGTAATATTTTTCGCGAAAAAGCTTTTCATATTTAGATAAATAATGTATTACACTGTAACTGTATTACAGTTACTAACGAACATTCGTGCAAGCCATATTTGTTTAATTAGTTTCTGAAAATATTGTTTTCTGCGTTTATTTTATGAATACTATTTTAAACAACTGTGATCAGTTATAAACGGCTTTGTTCCCGTGCATAAAAAATTGCTAGCAAACCGAAAAGTATTACCATTTTTGGGGCAAACTAAAATCTCTGAGCAGCCGTGACGAACCGAACTTTGCAAATAGAGAAAAAGGGGTTTGTGTACTCGTTACTTGAACGAACGTATGAAAAATGCATGTCGTCGAGAGGATCGTTATGCTAATTTGTGGGGAAAACTTTCATACATTGAGAGTACGTGATCTGTACGTCATGGATATGTCTATGTGCGTTTATTCATACATATACATGCCCGTTGTAATTAAGGTTGTCCATTAAATCGGTAGCCACAGGCCCGTTTCTTCGATCCATTCGTATCGCGTGTCACTTCGATTCCACTGATAGAAAAGTATCCAGCCCGATTTCAAACTGCAGGCAACTACACATGGGGGCAATTCTACGTGTAACGACGGTATAAATTTACAATGCCACTCCGGCATACATCTGCAGTAATTAATTATTGTGTTGTTGAGAAGGTGTACGTGTTTGCGAGATATATATATCTACTGTATATCTCACGCGACATTTTTCGCCGTGATGAACAGTGGTAAATAGTATTTTTGCATTACTCTCTCGGCAACGAGCTTTTCGCTTTTAATATGTATATTTTACAACGAAATATTTTATTCACAAATATTTGAATTATCGTGCATGTGATGCATATGATGCATATGATCAAAGAAGAGCTGTGTTTTCTAATTACGTTATGATTTTTAGCGCTGACTAAAGCTTCGCTCTCGGTTGTTATTAACGCGGTAATTAGCATAAAAGAAAATTGTTACAGTCGCTTGTATGCACCTCACGTTCTAAAATTTGAAATTATTTAAAATTACATATTTTTCTGCTTTAAATATAATGCGAAGATTTGGGCAAATATTTTTATCTTTGTTTAATTGATTAGAAAAGCAGTTATCTTCTTCTTAATTAATTTAACGTTAAATTTTATAACGTGTTAATTAATGACTGTATCTAATTTATGGAGATCTCCGACCTTTGTCGATCGCGACTGCTTGCACGTACACTTCTATTGATAATTATGCACGAACATACTGTGCTTATCTCACGGTTATTTATACACTCCGATGTGGAACGTAAAAAGGAACAATCGATCGCTTCTGTAACTCAGCCACGTCGGCCAGCCTTGAAAATTTTGGACTTCATTTCCGCTCCCCGCGATTTGAGTTATACTTGGCGAGACTAACGACCCTTTAATTATTCACTTCTAATTGCGAATGCTCCTTGTTACTGGAACGCATGCATTATACGTGGAACGTGTGTTACTTCCGTTTTCATGGCTGCCTACAGTACCTTTCCGTGAAATTCCTAATGAAATTCAAATTTCAAAAATGCACGTATTTATTAAATATTAAAAAAGTGACTTTTAAAAAAGGGATAATACATATGTAAAGTAAATGATCTTGACGAAGGCTCTTTTAGATTGTTGAGTTTTAATAATTAAAAAAATGATAGATTATTTATTAGTACGTTTCGATACCGTTTAATTTACCATAGTTGATTTGATGAACTGTAAATGTCAATTCCCTTCGTGCTTTAATTTCTGAGATCGTGTTTATGACAATGGCTCTGCGAGAATGTAGGTATAATAATTTTATGCCTCGGTCTGCGACCGTTGGTGTCGATGAATGACCGGTTTTATGATCCATTTGATTATAAGCCCGGTCAATTTTACGATGCAAGTGGTCTAGCTGGACTATCGTATCTTGTTCATAGTAATTAGATTTATTCAATGTTTCGCGATATGATCGAATTTTACCGTTGATTAATTTTCAATTCGCCTTGATGCGTGACGTCTGATTGAAGCAATTGTTCGAGTTATGAATTATTAATGATAATTTACATTGTTCAACATATTAATGATAATTTACATTGTTCTTTATAAAATTATGTGCAGCCGGAGTAAAGTACATTCATTTGTTACATATATATTTTTTATTTTTTTACTGATATGGTTAGATTAATTTGATAAAGACGAGTATTATGTAGTAATGTTCTAGTTTCGCTGATGTAGAGCAGAAAATCATGCTTCCGTATAATTGTTATATAATTATTCGATGAATTAACATTTATTAAGGAATTAACTATTATTATATATAAATACGTTTATATTTAGATGTATTAACAATATAATTTACTTTATCAATATAATTTATATATTGAATTTGAATGTTGAATATATAGATATAAATTTAATATGAACAGTACAGCATAAATTATACAGTAATACAAAAGTATGTTCTATTAATAATTACAATATATAATATTAATAATATTATAATTTTCTATTTTAATACATCATATACACAAACTATAATGATTCTATGAATATTATTTTTTAATATACTTTTATTTTTTTATTTATACATGAAATATTCAATTTGGAGCGTTACCGCGTTTGTTGCAAGTCAATCTAGCGAAAAAGGCCTAAATCGTCCTAATTTCAAATTTAAATTGTCGCCTTTTGTTTTATATGGAAGGATTCAAATTGAGAGTACTTTTCGGGCGAGAAGTCATGACGGGGACAACCGTGCAACTGTGTGCGTGCGTGCTTCTTTTCACTGGAATGACGACAAGTGACCCGAGAGTGACGGAATTGTTCGCACTTTATTCCCCATTCCATTATTCGCGGATCGTGGAAATCTCATGCATCACAAAAGAACGATCGAATGAATTTACCTTGCGTACTAGTTCGTCTACGTATTACTAATTCATCATCCTTCAATGTGTTTTATCCCCCCCCCCCCCCTCTCTCTCTCTCTCTCTCTCTCTCACGTGAAGTTGCGAAGTCTTAAATACATGCGTTTGAAATACGATCGAATATCGAAATTTAATGCAAAAGAATTCCTTTTACTGAAGTAGCAATTATTCTAAATGGCACGAATTTATAAAATGAATTTATAAAATGAAATGTCAAACGTACAAAATGTACGAAAATTGTTGACATAGTTACAACTGATGCAAACACGGAATACGAAATTATTTTATGCATCGATTTATTGAGTTTAATATTTGGATAAGAATTTTAATTTAATTATTTATTTTGTATTGTTATCGCTAATGTTCAGTTTTCATTTCGTTCGATGTGTTCAATTTGATTAATTTCTACACCATTTACTTTGCTTCCCGTGTCTGTCATATTTTATTACTGAACTCGTCAAGCACTTTCATTTATTCGCTCATCGATTTCACGTCCGTCGTGTGACGTCTCGCTCGAAGAGCGCGGAATAAGCGGAAGTGATTCCGACGAGATATAGATGACGGAGATCTCGGACTCGTGGGTTTCGATTATTCGCCACCGTAAATTCGCAAATGCCATGACAGACACGAACAACGCATCATCGATTCGCGCTTCTCGACGCGGTCCATCAAGAAGTGCCTTCACGCTGCAGGCTGACTATTCCGCTGACTGCGATTTCACGCGCGTGTCGAATGGCGACTTTAATCTCTTCTTGCATGACACATGTACACCGGGTACGTTCACTTTCACGCACCGTTCATCGTCGTTTCCCTCTTTGCAAATCTAAATAGCGTCTAACAATATCAACCGAACAAGGTACTTACGTAAAATATGCATGCTTAAATATTTAATAAGAGGACCGCGCAAAGCTTTTGGGGGGAGGATTATCCATTTAGCTATGTTCAAAATTCTTTAGGCGTACAACGAACGAGCGAAGTTCAGGCGGCGCTTGGCCGAATTAAAAATTGCGCGAGTAGAATAAGAATGTTTATGTAAATTTGCTTAAAAGCCAGCGCAATTAGCCGCCTTTTGGCATGGCAGTCATGCTTACCGTTTAACAAGCCGCAACGTTGCTTCCAATGCGTCGCTCTCGACCGCTCGTCGGTTTTATATTAGTTGTAACGTAGCGATAGAGCCATTTGCGCGACTAACGACGTAGTTATGTGTTCGTTGTGTTTCAATCCGTTATTGCGCCCGTCGTTTGATTAATACAAAGGACGCAATCGATGAAAGCGACTGCCGCGGGGTCGCGCCATAGCAATTAAACGTATTCCAAGAGCTTCCGTATAAAGAATACAGTAATTCTCTGCAAAAGATATACTTGTGAAAAATATAGTCGCACCTTTCACTCCGTTATTGCAGCGCTGTTTGATTAATATAGAAGGTACATTCGCGCGACGAAAGCGATCGCGTCGTTGAATAGCGTGTAACAGCAGCGCAATTACCGTATGAAGAGGAGGTGTAAAAAAGACGGAGCACTAATTGTTTCGAAATAATACCGATCCCGTTCTCGCGTTTGAGACATTGCAATAATGTCTGTAACGTACAGTTGCTTCGTTTGATCGCGACTGTAAAGAAATTCCAACGTGGCGAATAAAGCGAAATACGTACGTATGTGCGGGCATACGCAAATGTATCTATAAAAGCTTTCACGCGCTACATGCTGCATGTTGTTGCCGAATTCGCCGTTGCGCCGAATGTAGCTGCCGTGCAATTAAAAAGAATCTATTCCCTGAAAATGGCGAGCGT